TTTTTTTTTTTTTTTTTTTTTTTGCATTTTAGGGAAGGGTCTATAGGGTGTTTAAGGTCTCACTATTATGTCAGACTTGTAGTGATCCACCTGTTTAGAGCCTCCCAAGATCTGGGATTACAGGCGCGCACCACCATGCCCAGTCTCAATTGCCATCTCAGTGTGCCGCAGGGGTGGGGCCAGCATGGCAGACCTGGGGATCAAACCCCCAACCCCTGCACCTGTTTGCAGGCACTTTAATCCACTGAGCTATTTGGCAGGCCCTTGGTACCACATGCCACATCCTTGGTACCACATCATTTCAGTCCTTCGGATTTTTTCAGAACCCTAACATTTGTAAGCCTGTTTTAAATAGGAATGGGAAATCCATTATTATTAAAATGTAGCTATTAGAAATTCAGACCTATCTACTATCACTATAACTACTTTTTCCACTTTCAATATTGTTGCTATTTCTTTTTTCTCCACTCCTTATAAACCCATTATTACCTTGGCTTATATGTATGTATGGGTTTTTTTGTTCTTGTTGTTGTTTTGTTTTAATGTATTTGGTACAGGGTCTCACTATGCAACTTGGCCTCGTAGTGATCCTCCTATTTTCAGTCTCTCCAGTGCTGGGATCACTCCTGGTCTCTGTGTGGCCAGCTCAGCATGCCTAGGGTGGGGCCAGTATGGCATGTGGTACCAGGGATCGAACCCTGGCCCCTGTGCTCGTCTAAGCAGGCACTTAGTCCACTGGGCTATCTCACCAGCCCTGTAAGGTATCTTTAATTGCAAAGGTAAAATGCAAACAATCCCTTCATAATTAAAAAAAAAGGTCCAAAATGGCCTTATTCTGAACGTTCCATAGGAAGGAAGTGATTTTTTAAATTTCCCAGTTGTACTAAGGGATCTCACCATGTTTATCCTCATCACACAAGTAAACTTTGCAAATAGGCCAGACCTAGAGACAGATATGAACCCAGTCAAGTACCCTGCCCAATCTTGGGAGAACACGAGTTCTGGATTCTTTCATCAGATGTTTCCAGCAGGAAGAAGTTGCTGAAACCCTGCACTAACTTTGCAGAATGAGATATTGCTCTAGTGAAACACAAGCTGGGACCACCAAGGCGCAGTCATCTGTCTTCCTTAGTGGTAAGTGAGGGTCCGCAATAGGAGGACAACCTCTTCCGGAGGACCCTGAATGTTACCTTGCACCTCTAGACCTCTTCCCACAGGCCTGGCCTGGGAGAGGTCTTGTGAACTGTTCTACGTGTGCTAAAACCTTGGGAGAAGGCGCTGCCTGCATGCATGCACAGCACTGGGAGTGAGACCTGAGTCCCTGTGGACTTCACCTCCTGTCCACAAGCTCTGGTAGAACTCCAAGTCAGTGACCAACATTAACCTCACTAGAGGCAACAGCAGGCAGCCCTTGCTCTGTTCCTATTCCAATGGCCACTGGCCCTGCCAGAGTAGCAGTTGTTAGCTTACAGGGAAAAATAATCAATAACAAGTGACCCGCCCTCGCTCCTCCCATTCCACCCTATTCCTAGGAGACATTTCTGTACAGAAAGTGAATGGGCCGGCAACACACAATACACACACACACACACACACACACACACAAAGAAGACAGTCATCATCTGACTGAGAAACAGCACACACTGCCCACCCAAAAATAACTCAGAGCAGCATTGTACTGAAAGTAAGCGGACAGTCCGAGCATGGCTGAGGGTGAATGGAAGCCACAGCGAAATGCTGAAGCGTGTTAGGAAATACTCCAGCAGCTGTGTAGCCATACCCTTACTTTCCAGAAATCCTAAAAATAATCTTCCAATTCAGTAAAGCTTCCTATTTCTGTCTCTCCACCTACCAATTTCCTGAGAATTACATGCTGGGCCAAATTAACGTCAAGCCGAGGAAGAGCTACACAGAAGCTGGGGCTCTTCCATTAGCGCCGATCGGCCCGCGTACTCCTGCTCAAGACAGCCGTGCTCTTGGGTTCAGCCTTAATAGGAGCAACTGGGCTTGAGGACAACCCGCAAGGACGACGCCTTGAAAAACCAGTATCCCCTCCCCTCAGATTAGCAGAGATTCTTCTCTTTAAAAAGTCTGACTCAAAATTTAAGGACAAACACTACTACTACACAGTGAACATCAAATTACAAGTTTGAAAAGGAACTCTTTGACCAAAAAGCCCATTCAGCTGAAATCTAAGGCTGCTGAGATTATGTAATAACCAGGACCCTACAGGATCTAATCTCGGGCCCATTCTAATTCCCTCCTCCACTCTGAAAGAGCTGACTAGGAAAGATAAGCGGTAATTAATGTTTTAACGTGACCACACTGAGAAGCGGCAATTTCCAAAGACATCAGAAAAAAAGTTATCCACACAATTAGCTTTTGGAGAATTCTTAATTCATAAAATATTGCAGGAACTTCAGAAATCATAAAGCATATAGACCCTCAGACTTACAAACAACAATTCTGTATGCTCAGCAGTGTATACTACCTATGTACGAAATAGTATAAAACAATAAGTCCACATTGAGGATGTAGTGCTAAAGGGGGCCTTTGAGAAAACATTTACATCATGCGTGTAAAGTCAAGTCTCAGCTCCACAAGGAGGAAAATAAACATTTATAGCCTTACCTTCATCAAAATTTTGCATGTAGCCAGTTTTCTCAGGGGCGTTTAGTTAACAGAAAAAGTTTCACAGAGCTAGAATCTACATCCACCTCCTCCAGCTCTCTCTTCCTTCTGCCTATGGTAAGCCAGGAAACAGTGTCTAACACTTCAATTGCTCAGCCGTTGAAAGCTAAAAACAGATCCTGTGCAATGCTGGATGTATTTTTGTCCGCTAGCTACACACCCTCATCATGTTCAATTTTTTCCATTGGTGGAACAGCATGATGCAGACTTAACCAGAAAGTGGTTTTCCAAGAGCTGCCTGAAGTGATTAGCCGGGACAGCCTGCCATCTCGCCTGAGACACCCGGCTGCCCATGACTGGCCTCTTGTTGGCCCGCATTCCACAATCACCACCACAGTTCCATAGGAACGCAGCTCCACGGTTTTCTGAATAAAGGTTTACTCACTTGAGGGACTCCGGCTTCTTTTCTAAGCCCTCAGCAGGGAGAAAACACACTTCCCATCCTTGTACTCCGGATGGTAGTAAACATTCTGCTCCCAGAACCACAGCTGGAATGTTATGGTTATAAAAGCCCTGCCTCAAGAGAGGCCCTTAGAAATTATTTCATGATTTGCAAAATAGTGGGTATATACTTAGTCTGTGTTCCTTGCTGGAGTTATTTCATTTCTTAAGCCAGCTGAACTGCAGGGACTTACATTGGAAATCCTTGTTACCGCAACATGGTGCTATTTTATCAAAAATATGCATTAAATTACCGTGAAGTCATATACCAGAGGCTCCATGTGTTTTTAAGTCTTGCTATATCCTTTCATGAAAAATATCCCAGAAATAAAGCAACATTTGTAGATCATTTTATATTAGTGTTTTAGAGAGACATGAAGGCTACTGAATAGAAGAACAAATCTCAACTGTGTGGCACTATTTAAATTTTTGGAATTATTTACTATAGAAAATAAGATTTTAAGATATATACATTTTGAGTGTGCAGATATACAAGTTAACCTGGACAAATATATGGAGCTTTGCAAAATAATATTTTTATTATTTTTAAATGTGAATGGAGATACATATGCAATGAGAGATCCTGCTATTGACAAATAAGCTTTTACTCCTTTACCTGATGAAAATCTAGGCATATATGCAGCTATCTGTATGCACACAAATAGAATTTTTCATTTATTGCTTTCTTTGAAAAGAGGGCCTCGCTTTGCAGTACAGGTTGGTCTTGAACTCATTATGTGGGCCAAGTTGGCCTTGAACTCAAGTCAATCTTCTTGCCTCAGCCTTCTAGTGCTGGGATTATAGGCATGCACCAACACGCCTGTGAGAACTTTTTCAATATGTAGTTTAATACATACTTGAAGGCATGCTCTCTAATCGCAGTTGGCAAGTAAAAGCCATTGCATAAAATCATCAGCCTAACAGTTATAAAAGTTATTCTAACTGCGATAAAAACTTGAATGTGAACATAAAACATAAAACCAAGAAACTGTTATGCTGGTGGAGTACACTTGGGGTGAGGGAACTATGTTCCAACTCTTCCCAGTTACAGATAAAGAAACAGAAGCCTTGAGTGACTGCTCAGGGTCACAGAGCTGGTCAGCAGCAGGGAGCAGAGGGAGGATGAGGAAGCCTTGTGCAGGGAACCGCAGGCCTGGGGCTGAAGTCTTCCTAAGGTTGCCATGGAAACCAAGCCACACAACAAAATGTGGAAATTCCCCAAATGTTAATTTGTGTGTGTATGTGTGTGTGTGTGTGTGTGTGTGTGTGTTTAAAAAGACTATGTAAATATCGAAGATGTAAGAATGCAGTTAAGACAAAGAGCTCTTATTCCTTTACATATAACAGTATCATTTCTGTTACCTACAAAAAGGGTAATATATATTACTTCACAAAAAAGAAAGCCTTCCATATAACTCTGAGACAGGAAAAAGTCTCCTAAGTGGGAAGGGGAAAATCTATGCCAAAAGAAAGCAGGAATTCTTTAAAGAGATTCTATTTCCCAGGGAGAAAAGGGGTAGGAAGAAGAACTACCTGCATGGAAATGCAGCGTGCCCACCACGTAGTTTGGCTTTCAGATTCTAGACCAAGTCAAATTGTTCGCGACATTGATTATTTAAATCCACCTATGCCAGAACTGTGTGTATGAACCCATGATGCCAACATACCTTAGATACTGCACCTGGATTTGCACTGGCTAGCTCTATTACCCAGTGACCATCAAAGGAACTTTCATTCTACATATGTGGAGTCACTTGGCATTTGAGACTGAACAAGAAAGTGTAGCAAGCTCTTCAGACTTTGAAACAATAGTAAAATACTATCGATTTAGTTTTCTATCCTAACATTTCCAAACCAGCCTATTTCCAAATAAAACTAGACTTGGTATTTTTAATGCTTTGTTCTAAGATAATATAACACAACATATGTGCTAACAAGCATCTAAAATTAAATTCCTTGGCAAAGCTCTCTGAGAAAAAATTACTACTTAAGAATGATTCAGTTCTGAAGCACACAATGCAAAATGGCAGAGAAAGACGCAGCAAAGTATTAACAACTGTAAACTGTGTTGGGTGGGTGGAAGTTCACTGCACAGTTCTTTTGACTTTTCTGCATTTTTGCAAGCTTTTTTTTTTTTTGTATTTTAGGGAAGGGTCTACAGGTTGTTCAGGGTCTCACTACTAGATTAGACTCATAATGGTTGTCCTGTTTACAGCCTCCCAAGAGCTGGGATTACAGGTGTGCACCACCATGCCCCCTCTCAATCACCATCTGATTGCATCCCAAGGGCGGGGCCAGCATGGCCACCCCCGGGGATGGAATCCCCGGCCCCTGTGCCTGCTTGCAGGCATTTTAATCTGCTGAGCTATCTGGCCGGCCCCTATAAACTTTCTTAATAAAACTTTTTAAATAAAAGTTTTAATAAAAGGTTGAAGGGAAAAATCACGTGTACCCACAGATGCACATCCAATGATAAGTTAAGCCATGAAAACCCATTATTTTACATGTCTGGCTGCGACTAACCAACTGTTGCTAACCTGGTTATAACTGAGGATGCAGATAGCCTAGATGAACAATGGTGAACTGCTGAGAGCTCTCAGTGACAACAGAGAGTCACGCCACGGTGCACCATCAGTGTCCTACGCTGTGCTCACAAAGTCAAAGTATTTCCAGAGAAGCAGAAGGTGCAAAATGATAAAATACGACCCACGAACTGAGGGTGTGACTCGGTGCTGGAGTAGCTGCATGGTATATACAAGGCCCTGGGTTTAACCCAGGACACCTCCCACAAATCTTCTGAGATTACATGAATTACAATTAAAAATATGAGTGTGTTGGAAACCTTCAGTCTTCAAAACCAGTATACCTGGGTAAGCAAATCATCTCCATAATTGTTTTGAGACAGGCTCTCACTATGTAATCCCAGGCTGGCCTTGAACTTACTATGCAACCCAGAAATGAGATCTCAGCTTAGAATTCAAGAAACTCAACTCCAAACTAGGGAAGTACCTCCATGGTGGAGCACATGTCCAGTAGATACAGGCCTTGGGTTTAAGCTCACACATAGGACGGTACTGATACAACATCCTCCAAGCACCATTCCTTATTGATAAGCTGTAGTTAAGTCATAGTTTTAAAAAACAACAACCACCAAAGACCAAACCTATAGGACACTTCTTTGCAGCAGAACTCTCAAGGACTAAATGATTCCTAGAAACTGTAAAAATGCACCTTGATGCAATGACACCAAAGACAAAAGACACAGTAATGCCTCCCATGCTGAAGGCAGCTTTGCCAGGTGCTCCTGATGGGAAAGCAACGATGCAACCACCGCCAGAATGCAGAACTTGAGAAAAGCACTTGCCAAATTGTCCTAGTTGAGAGCAACCCTGAAAGAAGTAGAAGCATACAATGCATTCATGTAAGAATCCTAAGAAGCATTTCCTGGGGAGGTGATTTCTGTCTCCATTTGATCAAAATAGCTAAAGCTAGGGCTGGGATGTAGTTAAGTGGGAGCGTGTGCTTGCCTTGCACGCACAAGGCCTGGAGTTCAACCACCAGCACCACACATACAAAAATAAATTAATCCAAATCTACTGAGTCCACTTCTAAAACCAAAGGCTTCCATGAAAGCTCAGAAAACAGTAAAAGAATGCACAGGTGGACTCGTGCCTAAGACAGATGTTTTACTGATCCATGCAGCTCCTTTACCACTCAGTTGTGTCCCCAGAAAGCTGGCCCAACGCTCCAGGGCCCAGGCACTAGAGTCCATCATGCCTGCTTTCAGATACTGCTGTGTGACATGAACAGTTCCCCTCCCTGGCTCTCAGTTCCTTAATCTATAACACGAGGATAATGTTACCTGCCTTCCAGGTTAGTGTAAGCATTCAGTAAAATAATAACTGTAAGTTATTTAACACAAGGGCTAAGAACAGAAACTCTGTAAGCAGGACTCTTCCTAAAATGACTATTTGAACTCTACTACTTCAAAGACACCAGGCACCTCTGAATAAATACATGTTGAGTAAATGTATGAATGAATGAGAGATGCCAGTAATGGTGGCAATGCTGAGAAACACAAAAGGAAGACCACCACTTGGTGGGATCCAAACCTTGATCCCTTTATTTAAAAAAGCCACCCAGGCTGAGGATACAGCTCAGCACAGGCCTGACCGGTAAGTGCAAGGTCCTGAGTTCAATTCCTGGTACCAAAAAATAAAAAATAAAAATAAAAAGAAGCCACCCACACATGATCACTATCCATCAAGCCAAACCGTCACTGCATTTCTACCGAGAGCTATGCAGCTGTCCTCCTGGAGTATCCCACGTTCCAGTCTCTCTAGTCTCAAGAGGAGGCCTGAGCACCCCAGATGCAATGGGCTCTGGCTCCTGTAGCAGGGGGCCACAGGGAAGGGGCGCATACTGCAGAAGTCCCAGCAGTTGCTTTGGGTTTTCATCTCATGGTGCCCATGTTTGCTCTTACAAACCTTTTCTGGAACTAGCTCCTGCCCACAGGGACTCTGTACTGTCCAAATACAGCACCTCTCACAAATGCTGACGACAGAAGGGTAGCCCAGGTGACTCCGTTAAACTTACTGTTTCATGTAAGTCGATGGCAACAAATCAAGCCAAATCTTCACTCAAGCAAGCAGGAAGCACAGAAAAAC